CGTTAGGGCAGTGCGGGTGTGTTGGACGTAGCGAGCCACCTCATCCACGAGGGTTTGTTCACACTCGGCCAGGGCTTTTTGGCCATACTGGCTGTCGATGGTCACGCGAGCGGGGCGCTGACGACGACATGATGCCAAGGCACGGCGTCGAGGATCCTTGAGGAGATTGAGGGAAAGACCGAGGCGAGCGTTGACGAGATGGGTCCACACACTGCGCTCCGTCTCGTCTGGCTTAAAGGCACGGTGCAGCGGCACCGTCGGCGCGGCCTTCAAGGGCGCAATCTGCACCTCCATCCTCCCAAATTCTAGGACCCAAATACCTTTTATGAGCGAGCACGCGAGGCGCGGGATGGAGCAAGGAGAGAGGAATGTAGCGGTTGTGGGTGGAGAGGAAGCGAGACAAGGGGAGGAGGAGGAAGGAGAGAGAGAAGATGTTTGAAATGGTCAAGGCAAGGCAGAACCAGGCAGACTGACCAAGCACCTGTCAAAGGCGCAGCAGCCGCGGTCGGTAGGCAGCGGGAAGGAAGGACCCAAATCCGAGTGAGAGGCGCCAATGGTAACAAAAAAAAAAAAAAAAAAAAAAAGGGATGAATATAAGGCGTTCTTCGTGCTATCCCCGCTGCCCCCGCCTTTCCCCAGATGACCCTAACCCCTCCTGCACCACCCAAGCACCCACCACCACCACCACATCCTCATCCTCATCATCATCACCCAATACTCTCCCGCACACACACACACACCACGCGAGCGCGCGCGACGTACCGGATGCCCCGGTGCCCCGAAGTCAACCTTCGGTAGAAAATAACAACTCAACTGCACACACGCAACCTTTGTCTCTCGTTTTCGCTCTTGTTGATTCGTACCTCTTGCTGGTCTTTGTCTCGCTCTCAACTCTCTCGTTTTCCCTCGTTTTCCCTCTCGTTTTACCTCTCGCGGTTCTCTTCTCTCTCTGTCAAAATCTCTCTCGCGAGTCTCTCTCTCTACATCTCTTTGGCTTTCCCTTGCTTTCTCTGACAGAATGACAAAAGGCACACTCTCGTGTTTCCCTCTAACCTTGAATCCGTTACCTCTAATTTGTTACAACTTTGCTAAAGGCCTAAAAAGTATTTCAGCCCCCCTTCACACTTCATTTCGTGCCAGCCCTTTGCATGCATCTGGTATTTTACTTTTCCAGTATCTGCTCGCAAGAAAAAAAGCCAAAAAACAACAACAACAACAACAAAACGGCAGCGCGGCTCGATAACGCCCGTGACCCCCTCGCTGCCATCGCCTTGAACACCTCATCAGCTGTGGATGACCAGGGGCATTGACCATCATTTGATTAGTTGGGACCAGGTCTTTCTTCTTTTGACATTGATATCAACGCCTCACCGCGCGTCTTGCTCGTGACGTTGCCGCCGCCATTGCCAACGACAGTAACAGTCAGTCCGTGACGCAGGCCCCTCGTTCCTCCTGCCTACGCCGCTCATCCTCACTGCATCGTCTCTCTTCTCTCGTCTCTCTCCCTCCCTCTTTCTCTCTCTCTCTCTCTCTGTTGTCTCCTCTCCCTCTTTGCTGTGACCCGAACCAGGCACAATGGAGACGCGTCCCGCCGCTCTGAAGCTTCGCTTGGATAGCTTGCGCAGCACCATTCGCAACCAGGACCTCACCGGTGCACTGCGCCAACTCGAACGCCTGGTCAGTCGCGACCCCACCTTTTCTCCCAGCCCCAGCCGCATGTAGCCCACCCTTGGCTATCCTTCCCTCTCCTCTCCTCGCTCTTTCGTTCTCCTTTCCTTCTTTTTTTTCTTATTCTGCCGTTTCTTCTTTACACACGGTATACTTACAGGTTCAGATGAACGGCGTCACAACGGCTCATCCAGAGCACCGGTCAGACCTGCACCGAGCGCATGCAAGGGTGCAGGGGCTCTTACAACGCCTCCGACAGCACCTTGCCGAATTTGTCCAACTCTTGCACGATGCCCCGCGAGACATGCAAGACGAATACCAAGACAGCCTCGAACAGGTTTGGCCCTCAAATGCCTCCATCAGTCGTTAAATGCACCGCTTCCAATTTGTGTGTCCCACCCACCCACTTGCATCGCCACCTTTTCTCTCACCATCTTCCCGCGGCCTCTTGATGACTTTTCTTTCTTGCGTTACTTTCCGTTCTGTTCCATCGACAACAGATTGAAGACGCCATCGAGCGCGCGACCGACATTTTGCGCCGTGCTTCAGACAAGCTCAAGACCCGTGAGTCGACCTTTGTTATCGCACACACGTCTGTTCCCAGTCACCGTGCCCCATTCATCCTTTGCTCACGCGGCGTTGCGTGTTCATATGACTCTGCAGCACGGGCTCGAGACCCCACAACTGATCCGCTTCTTGTCGGCGACCAAGAAGACACGGATCCGCTTGAGAGCCATAAATCACGCTCAGCAAGCCAAGTCCCTCTCCTGGTCATCCCACCTTCTCAACAGGCAGCCGATCCTGGCCTCCTTCAACAAGCTCAAGACCTTGCTCAGGTAAAGCTACCACGGCCTCTCACCCCCACCCCCACCCCCGCGCCCTTTTTTTATTTTCATCTCGTCCTTTTTTTTTTTTTCCTTTTTTTTTTTTTCCTTTTTTTTTGCCAACTGAAGACACAAGACTTGGTCATTGGCATTGCGGAGGACGTTCGTGCAGCATTGGCCGTACAACGCGACAAGCTGGATGACATTGAGAGCCACTTGGTCTCCTCTCAGGCTCGGATCACCCAGGGCGCAAAAGAGTTGGCACAGGTGCGTGACGATTGCACATGCTTGTGGCGCAACAAGTCTGCCCATACATCATACGTGTGACCCACCAACTGTCTGCTCACTGCTGTGTCTCGCTGTTGGTGAACCGTTGGCCTTTTGGCCCGCACCCATGGCTTGGGTCTTTTCGATCATTTGCCCTTGTGTCGTAGACGAATGAGAACAAGACTTGGTTGTCTGGTGCCCGAGGTGCACTCACCGTGGGCAGCCTAGTAGGATTGACAGGCCTGGTAGTTGCTGGACCGGTGCGTACGACCTAATCACGACTGGTCAAACATCCATGACCCCTGTAACGCCACACGGCGCCAGTGTCCCGCCGTGGGCTCATTCGCCCTTTTTTTCTTCTCCTTGCTACTCTTGGGCCATGTGTGTCGCAGGTGGGGGCGCTGATTGGCGTGGGCGCTGGCGCCTCCGTGGGCGCTGGCATGGGCGGTTGGGTACGTTGACCGGCCTTGGTTTAGCTCTTCCCAATGCTGGGTGGGTCGGTCTCACGGCGTGTTTGATGTTGTGCTTTTCGGTTCCTGCGTGCAGCTCAACCGCAACAACAAGCGCCAGACACAAGCCACAGCTAGTGGGCTGCAATAGCAGAGCTGGTACCTTGTTGCCCATAAGGCGGCCGGACATTTGTGCCGTGTCAAAACATGTTTAGCACCTGTGTCAATGATCTTGCCCAGCCCAGAAGCAGGTTGGACGCGTGAAATAATCGATGGAAAAGAAGGCAATGATACATAGACACAAGCCAGCTCAGCTGGCAATCAATTGGCCGGGAGGGTCGGGTCAGGAGAAGACAAACACACTAATAATTTACATGACTCTTGCTAACATGAAAAGACTCTTGTTTAGCCATCATTTATTCGCTCCGTTATGGGGACAGACTGGGATTTTAGCGAGTCGTGGGACGGCCGTTTCGCTGGGCTTAGAGGTCCGAGGTGACGAGTCGGGAGACCCAGCTGCGGCGGCGGTGGATACGGGGTGATCCGGTGGCGGAAGACGCCGTTGAGGTGGTGGCACTGCGGTTGTGTGCCTCTTCAAAAGGCGCCTTGGTGTTGACGGCCCAATCAACGTCAACATGACGGGAAGCTGTGGGTTGTTGAATCTCGATCATGCGGACGTGCGTGTTGGCGTGCGCAACGGTGCGGTGGACCTCGCACTGCACGTGCTGGGTCGAAGGTGTGGCGCTAGGGGCGACGTTGCGGCTACGGCCGCTGACGGGGCTGTCCAGGCCCGCAGAGCTGTGCTTGTCGGCCGGCTGCTGGTCGCTGTGGTGGTGATGATGATGATGATGCTTCTTAAACAGACCCATGTTTGGCGGTGTTGGACCGAGACGTGAACCGAGACGTGAACCGAGACGTGAACCAAGGACGTGGACCGAGGCAATGGCAGAAAGATTTAAGATTGGGGCCCGGGGGACAATGCCAAGACGCTCAATACAGGATGTTGGGAGCGCCAGTGACAAGTGCTGCCCAGGTTTGTAGCATGCAAGACTGGATGGGAGGGGGGGGGGGGGAAGAAAGGAAAATGGCTGTTGACCGAGCGCCAAGCCGCCACCAGCCAGCTCCATGCCAGAGCAGCAAGTGATGATGGCGATCAACAGAGAGCATCACGACATGAACACGTACATGCACCAGCCAGCCAGCCAGCCGTGCACGCGCAGGACTGATCATGAGGCCACTTAGACGTTGGAGCCGAAGCCGAGAGAGAGAGAGAGAGAGAGAGAGAGAGAGAGATGGTCCCTACGCATGCGCGCCCCTAAGGTACGTTACGTGTTACGTGTGTACATCACACACACACAAAAACGTATGGGAGCGCATTACGTCATCACAAATTTGTCATCATTTTTATTGCGAATGGTGTGTGGGAGGGGTGATCGGTTGAATGTGTGGTCGAACGTGTGGGCGTTATCATGCATCATGGATGTGATGAGCAAGTCCGTGGGTCTCATTGGCAAGCAACCCCTTGGCGTTTGGTGAGCATTGGGGATATTCGCGGAGATCAGCGACGTGCTTGGCAGATGAGTAGACAACCACCGACTGTGCATGTGCACCGAGCTGTCCGACACAGGGCACAGCAACAGGGATTACACACACATGCACACGCACACGCGCGCGCACAGACACACACATCCTTTTATTAACATAAGAGGGGGTACTTGAAGATACTCTTAAATTCGTTTACATGTTAGGGTTGGCTATTGGTGATCGTTCTGGTTTTCCGACACTCGTCCGAGCGCTGCGCCCGCGGCTGCGATCGAGCTGTCTTGGCATTGGTGCCACCACTCTGACCAGGTTCGTGTGGGGTCATAGGTCCAAACTGGCGATGTACTCGGTGGCTTGGCGTGGACCAAAGCCAATTGCGCCTCCAGCGCTTGCAGGCGCGCCGCCATGGCTCTGATGCACAAGGAAGGTGAGTGGACAGGTGCTCCAACTCTGGATTCAACAACAGAAGTATAACATCGCAACAGCGAAAAGAGCCGAGGGCGCTGAGCGGACAGCACGGAGCAACTTACGTCATTTCTGTTTCGAGACGCACAACCTCGCTTTGTCTGTCCGGGATCTGCTCCTGTTTGAACTGTGGTGCAGTCTCTGTAGCTGGCCCCGTGAGCGAGGGCGGCGGGGTATCCGCTGCTGGTGGGGCAACGACGGCCTGAGGCTTTGGGGCAACCGGCGGCGGATCACCGAGGTACCACAAGCAGGATTGCACCAACGCCGGAGGAATCAGCACCAAAATCAATCGCGACATGTGCCTATGCAAACGGCATCCATTTGGCACAACGCCCGCACACATGAGACCCCGTAGAGGTTCGGCCGGGTGAAGAGAGGCAGGCTGACGCACCAGTCACGGGTGACCTGCGCGCGAGGCTGCGTGGATCGCTGCGAAAACTCATCAAACAAGCTCACAAATCCGCGCCAGAGCTGCTCCTGCGTCGAGGCTGAAGAGTTGGCAGAGCCTTCACCACCCGACGGTGGGGCAGACGGCGCGGACGCAGCACGTGTCCCGTGGGCTTCCCGCCGCCCGCGGGCCAGCCCTCGCCAGCGGCCCACACGTCGCGTCGCGGCCAAGCACGACATCTGTCCTGCTCCGACGCAACTTGCACCCACACCCACACACCACTCGTCAAAAACGTTTCCCCTGCACACCCCAACCCTGTAGCATGCCGCCCAACCAAGAGCCACCCCCTGATGCCCAAGAACCCTGAGTCACACCAGCGCGCGCGCACGCCGGCATCCGCACGCCCCGACCGTCACACACACACACACAACGTCCCGACCAACGCCCAAGCGATAGAGTGTCAATTGTCACACTTTACAAGACAATGCTACCACATGATACTGCTGCCCTCTGCCTTTCTGCTGACATCTCTTCTCTTTCCATCAACAACACCCTCTTAAATCAACTTCTTTCAAAAAAAGGTGTGTGTGTGTGTGTGTGTGTGTGTGTGTGTGTGTGTGTGTGTGTGTGTGTGTGTGTGTGTGTGTGCTTGCTCCGTCGAAATGGCAGCGCGGTTCTGGCCAGCTGAGGGCCCGATGCCTTGAGAATTAAGGGGGTATACCTCCGTCTCTTGGTGTCCGTCCGTCCGTCTGTCTGTCTGGGACGTGGTGATTGGGTGCCCCAGTACCCTGTTGTTCTATATCGTGCTCCGTCCTTTTACACCGTCTGCGCCCCCGCTCACACGACTGACCCGCTGTTTAGGTGCTCGCTTGGCCGATCGAGATGGCTGAAGTGGACTTTAGCACGGATGACGAGACGCTGTCGGGGGCGGCCTCGCCCGTGGCTGCAAACGGGCTGCGCCCGCCTCGCCCACGCCGCCGCAAGTCCTCCTCCCGCCAAGGCATGAGGCACATCGACATTTACATCTCCCCCAAACGCCCCAGTCTAGAGGCCAGCCGACTACTCACGGCCTTTTTCGGCGGTATGTTTGTCTTCGCCCCTTTACCCTTCGCCGCATTGACACCTTGACCAATTTTCCCGACTTCTTCTGCCCTGCCAAGCACCTGCCGGGCCCCCACAAGCTCACGCCGCCTTGTCACACCATACTCTGCCAGTGTCCCGCAACTACTACCGGTTTAGCCGCCTGACCGATGGCATCACCAACGTCGTCCTCAAGTGCACTCAGACTGAAACCCGCCCTGAATCACCGCACCCACACATCCTGCTCATGCGCATCTACGGTGACAATACCGAGGTATGATCCCTGCCCTGCACGCGTTGTGGCTCCACACCACACGCTCGCCCTCCGCCGACGTGCACCCTGGCTTGTCTCTCATCCACAATTTGCTTCGACAGCGCTTGATCGATCGCGAGGCTGAACTGACATCCCACGAGCTGCTGGCCTCCCAGTCCCTGGCCATGCCCTTGTACGGCTCTTTTCTCAATGGCTACGTCTATGGCTACATGCCTGGTGACGTTTGCTCCAGTGATCAACTGGCTGACGAAAACGTGGCCATCCCGACCGCACAACACCTGGCTCTCTTTCACCGCACCATGTTCAAGGCCGCCACCCCCTCTGCCAACGTTGCTGCTGCCGCCCTTCGAGGTGGTCCCTTTGATCTCAGTGCTGGCAACTCTGTCTGGCTCGCTACGGTCCGCCAGTGGCTGACCCTGCAGCCGGCGGCCAGCGTCTCTGACCCCCGCCTACAGGCCGAGTTTGCCCACCTAACGGATAGCCTCCTTGTCACCCTCACCAATCAAGTCGTGGTGCGTCCCCTGTTAAGGACGTGTCAAGGCAGCCCCGTGAACCCTGGCCCTGCGTGAACTTTCACAGCTTGTTTGGATTCAAATGGTCTTTGCTATGTCGGCCTGACACGCTGCTGGTGGCCACCTTGATGATAGGAGGCTTGCAAGCCACATGACTCTGATCTGGTCATTTGTCATAATGACCTCCTAGCTGGCAATATTCTGCGGCAGGAAGATGGTTCGTTTCCTGACTCGCCACCTCTTGCAGCACCAACAAACCTGCAACGATTTCAACAGCAATTCTCCTGACTCTTGCTATTCACTATACATCCTGCTCGCGGCCCTTTAGGAAGCGTCCGCTTTATCGACTACGAATACTGTGGTGCCAATCCCCGTGCCTACGACTTTGCCAACCATTTTAATGAGTACTGCGGTCGGTCCTTCACACGGCTTTGGCACAGCGACCCAGCCCGATGGCGCTCACTCAATCTTGACCCCACGCTAGGGCTGGGACCCGTGGACTTTGGAAAGTATCCCAGTGTGGATGCTCAGCGTCGCTTTGTGGAGGTGTATGCCGATGCCCTTGGTATGTCAATGTGTTCACCACGACGCTGGACGGCTGCAAGCGTGGGAATCCCAGTAATCCGTTTCCAAGTGTTTGAACGTGCATGCGACAACTCACCTCGGCAAACAGGCGGTGATATGCTGCAGACGCCCGAGTCGCGTGAGGCCTTTCTGGCTAGCATTGAGGCCCACCGCATGGTGAGTGATATGCTTGCATGACCCAAGTCACCCCCCCCAAAAAAAAATATATATATATATATATATCGGTTTGCATCGTAGCTGTTCACAAAGACTCACGACTCTGGGCACTTGTTGCACAGGCATCCCATCTTTTGTGGAGCATCTGGAGTCTGTTGCAGGCAACGAGCAGCCAGATTGAGTTTGACTACGTTGGTTACGCCCACGAGCGCATTACCGAGCTGCAACGCCTGCTGGCCGGACGCGATGCAGATGTTCATGTCAAACCTGCGCCTCTGACCACTGATGTCTGATTTGGTGGCTTGTTGGATCGATACCATGAGCGGGAAAGAGAATTTGTTTATCCGGCTATTTCTTCCCCACCATGTGGTTCTGGAATGTGTACGAAAGTGGTCGGGGCGTGGGTGTAGCCCACCCGTTGAGAATTAAAGGCAGGAGCTGAAGGACGTGAATTGCATTTACCTGTCGATTTGAAGAACCGCTCTGCACACTTGCTTCAGAATGATGCCTGTGATAAAAACAGCAAGCAACGGGCGCCGATTTGCTGTAGACATCTCTCAAAAAAGCAATAAAAAGGTGGACGTGAAGGTATCCGGGAATGGTCGGCCCATGTCGCCATCGCAATTCGGCTGGATGTCAATGTGTGGAACCGGGTCAACCAGCGGCCTCGCACGTCCACTGGCCAACCCGGTAACCTGCTTTATAAACCCTGCCCCATCTCTTATTGAGCCGTGGCTCAACCTTGCTGGGGTCAAGACAAACGGGGCCAACTTTTATTCATGCGCAAGCACAAGGTGGCTCTTTCCCATAACAAGCATGATGATGATAATTTTTGTGCAATTTTATTCCTTTCAACGATCATAACATCACAAGACGATGGTTCTGTATGAACTATCGACCTGGCCGCCGGTTCATCTTGATCGGCCTTCTCTCTTCCAGGACTGTAGCCCTGCGGTATTAAAGTTACTTGCATGCGTGCGTGCCAGCGTCATTTCCCCCGATCCATTTCGGACGATTTTATTTGCAATTACTTTAATCAGGAGAAGACATCAAAAACTCTTGGTTGGGCTCCGCGGCGGAAAACTGAATCAATGCTAACACCCTAAGTCGTCAAACGAGCTGTTGCTCTATTCAAAGACCACGTTAAGTTTCCTGCGCAAAGGTTTACGGGCCCGTTGTCAACATGACATGGTTCAGCTCGTTTCAAGCGGGTTGAGGAATGGCGGCTGCGTCGGCTGGGGCAGATGAGGAAGATGAGGCAGTGGCGGCGGCTTTGGCAGCAGTATCAGCAGTATTAGTATCAGGAGTATCTGCAGTGTCGACACCGGCGGCTGCACCGGCTGTTTTGGTAGCATCAGTGGGAAATGCGACAGCTTTGGCGTTTGCAACAGCTGCTTTCCCCCTTGGCTGCTGCTTGACGGGGCACCACTTCCGTTGGTGGCCGATGGCAGGCCCACAACAAACCGAGCAAATATGGTACCTCCGTTTGGTACGCTGCAACCCAGGATGCGATAAAAACAGAGAAAGTGAGTACGCATGGGCAAGCCCTCTCACATCGCGGGTCTAGCATTGTTGTCGATATTGCACGTACGCGTGAGAAGCCAAGGTTCCCGCCTGCGTGGTGCCGCATAGGTTGCAATGTCATCCGCGGCGCCTGGGTTGCCTGCATGGTCTGCCTTGCTCGGTTTGCCTGGGGTGTCTGATTTGGCTGGGGTGTCTGATTTGCCTGCAAGGTCTGCAAATTCTGCAGGGCCTGCATGGCCTGCAGGGTCTGCATTGTCTGCAAGACCTGGATTGCATGCATTGTCTGCTGCCGGGTGTTTTGCTGAGGCGTCAAGGCCAAATATAGTGCCAAGAGGTTTGTAGTGTAGTGGTCGGCCTGCTGGGCAAGACGCTGTGCTACTTTCTGGGCAGCCTCAATACCAGCACCGCCTGATGCTTTCTTGCTACTGCCTGCTGTCGCGCTGTCCGATGCAGAGGTGCTGGTTGGGCAGGTATGAGCTCGCTTGGTAGGTGGCGCTGAGGCTATTGTCGCTGAATCCGATACCACTGGTGTTGCAGCTGATATCACAGTACTCGTGGCAACGCCCCTAGTCAGGGCAACCGGAGCCATGGCTGTCTTTTTGAGAGTGTGCGATTGTTGGCCAGCATGGCATGGCCCTGCGTGTGTCAAGCCCAAACGTGGCACAGGCATGGATTGCTGCATCGCCGGCTCATTGCGTGCAATGGTTGTGCGCTGCGTTTGCAGTGCCTGCTGCGTTTGCAGTGCCTGCTGCGTTTGCAGTGCCTGCTGCGTTTGCAGTGCCTGCTGCGTTTGCAGTGCCTGCTGTGCTTGCTGCGCAGCTGACGGCTCTGTGCACCGCTGCCGTGCCGTCAACGTCAAAAACTGTGTCAAGAGGCGTGCGTTGTACTGATCAGCCTGTTGGGTAAGAAGTTGCTCCACGTGCTGCACAGCCACAAAACCAGCTTCGGCTGAAGCGCCAGCGTTGCTACCTGCTGTCAAGCCGCTCGATGTGGCGGCGCGGGTCTGCAGAGCCAGCGCGCTCGGCAGGTCCTGCCGTGGACGATGCCGATACCGCTGGCGTCGCCGCTGATAGAACAGGGTTTGAGGTATCACCCTGGGTCATGGTTGTCTTTTGAATGCGCAGCTTGCGACCAGCCCCGGTAGCTCTAACCTACGCACGGTGCTGTCAAAGCAGCATGACCCTGCACTCCTTCAGCAGATGGTCCAATTCTTTTGAGGCGGCGAAAGTACAAAAAAAAAAAAAAGAAAAAAAAAAGAGAGATATCAAGGATTGAAACGGCGCTCTGTGTTGTACTCTGTCTGATCGATACGATAATCCTTGCCCAAGCCCCAACGTAGCGTGTTCCTTCTCAAGTCGCAGCCCAAGCTCCAACGTGGTGGCTCAGAAAAAAAAAAAAAAAAAAAAAAAAAAAAAAAAAAAAAAAAAAAAAAATCGAAGGACATGTCATGATTTTAACGGCTCAAAATGATGACAATTCTATCTGACAAAAGAACTATTTGCTACCATGTGAAAGTGGACCCTCTCTCTCGAGAGAGAGTTTTTTATTTTATTTTTCTGTTGACGCGCGGGCTGCGTCGCACACACACACACACACACACACACACACGCACGCGTGCGCCGCGTACGCAGATACCTCGAGGTGTGGCAGCTCCATCACACTGCTGGTAGCAAGCTAGTAGCTGGTGGCTGACTGCTGCTGGTAGCAAGCTGGTGGCTGGTGGCTGACTGGTGCTGGTGCTGGTGCTGGTGCTGGTGCTGGTTACGGTTGCAGCTCCGTTTGGATCAAAGCTCGATGGTCTTGCTAGGGGGGGAGGTGAGTCGCTGGCGCTGGTTGTGCTGTGGTGTACAAACAAGCAAGTGATCGTCAGCTGGCGGGCTGTGGCCTTGTCCTGACCCGGAAAGGCAACTCACAGCCGCGTTGTGGACCCCTTGTGACACGTACATGCCGTCGTTGTGGCAGCAAAAGTCCTTCGCAGTCGGACGGGCCTCTTTCTCTCGGTCTTCTCTCCTCATACCCGAGGTTGACTTTTTGATCGCCCGTGTGCACTGACGCTTGTGATCACCAGCATGGCCGACCAGCGCCCTGGTACGTACTTGACTTCCAAGACATCTCTTGTATCCCAGCTCTCTCCTCTGTCCAACTCATGCGACCGTCTCTTGTTATGACGCCTGCACCAATAGGCATGCGCATGCCGAATGGCATGTCTGGAGGCATGGCAGGTGGCATGCCCGCCAACATGCAGGCCAACATGCAGGCCAATCTGCCCGCCAACATGCAGGCCAACATGCAGGCCAACATGGCTGGCATGATGGTTGGTTTCCAAGTCAACCACCCCACGCCCCGCTCTTGTTCCTGTGCCGTTTGCTCGCGCACCCTCGACTCTCACACGCTCAACAACGCTGCTCACTGTCTTAGCCCATCAACTTTCTTCTGCCCGAATCTTATTTTCTGCCCAACATGGCACAATCCACCGACTTTAGCAACGTCTCGGTTCGTTCGGGTGGCCCCCTTTCTGTCTTCAAGCCAGGCGGCCACACTTTTCTTTTCATGGCTTCTCACCGCAGTCGGCCACCGGTGTTCTTGACAGCGCGCGCCCTGGGCAACGTCATCATCCGCAACCACTTTTCCTCACATGCCAGGTTTGTCTGCCTGCGCACCCCCTCGCCCAGTGTTTCCCTTCTTCTGAGAGCCGCGTAACCATTTGCTCTGGTTCCCCCGGCTTAGGCTCTGTATTAATGCCCAACATGTTTCCAATGGAGTGGTTGAAACAACATGCGGCATTTGTCAATCCTCAACAGATGGAGCACCACGGCTTCCCCAGTGGTTCCATGGGCGCCTCGGCCTCGGATGCCCAGCGCATGATCATGCAGGCCGCCAGCGCCGTAGCTGCCAACGCTGCCAACGCCGCCAACGCGAGCGCCGCCAGCGCTGCCGCCCGCAAGTTCTCCCAACAGCAGCAGACCACAGCCCCCTCCCAATCCGCACAGCAACAAGTGTCCACACCTTCGTGGACCCCGAGCAGTGCTACGCGGGCCCCGTCAGCAGGCAACCCAGCCCTTTCAGCCAAATCCACGGCCGCTTCAGGGGGCAACGCCGCATCGGGGTCATCTGGAAACACAGCCACTGCCTCGGCTGTTCGTCAAAATTCCGCTTCTGCCCAGCCCGCCGCTCCTTCGCCCCGCAAAACACCCCGCAAGGGTCAAGTCAGCGCCGTGACCGACGAATTTGCTTCCAACGTTCCCTCTTCCAAGCCCGCCACCGCCACAGGCGGCGCCGGCGGTGTCAGTGCCGGCAACAAGGGCAGTACAGGTGCCAAAGGCTCGAGCGGCAACGCCAAGGACGGAACCTCCACGACAACTTCTCGTAAAGGTCAGGCAGGACCCATGCACGTGACTCGAATCATGCCATCACAAGCTGTGTCCACCTCGCTCACCTAAATTTTCGTTTAGAGCGATCCAGCGGTGCTGGTAGCAAGCGTTCCTCCTCCACGGCGAATAAGAACAGTTCAGGCGAACCTGCCGCCAAGAGTAGTGCTCGCTCGTCAACCACCTCAGCTGCCAATCGTGACGCCAAGGGCGCAAGGTGCGACGTGGCTTTTTGCTTAGTGCTCCCTCCCAGCCTGGCCCAAGCCTCTCCCCTCATTCTCGCATGCTCCGGGTATCCCGTACGCGTTTGTAGTCGACGCATCTCTGTCAAACGTTACCCTGTCCAGTCAATGCACTACAAATGTGGTTCCACGCCCAGCGACTTTCCCATCAAGGGCATTCCTGGACACTTTCCCGATCCAGCCATTGTCAACGTGCGCGAGGCTCCAACCCCCACTTTTCAGTCCTATCTTGATGCCCCACGTTTCAAGACCCGCATCTCGGTTCGTTTTGATCCGGTTTCTCCTTTCCATTTGCCACCTCGCTCCAACCCCGGCTGTCGCACTGCAGCTCAGCCTTCTGCGGGTCCTTTGGTGTTGGCCTTTTGTAGACGGGCTTGCACCGGCGCATCTCGGGCCTTCATAAGCAGTTGTGCCTTGTCTCCGGCAATGGTCCCGATGGGCACGAGACCGACGCACCAGAAAATGATGAATACAATGCTCTGTTGCAAATGGTATGTCAAGTCATCGCGAAAGCAGTGCCTTGGTTCATCAATCCGGCCTGGTCGATCGCCTGCTAACCTGCGGTTGCGTTACACCTTTGCCTTGTATTTTTGATTGTATTGCAACCGACTGTAGTTGACCTCAATCACCGAGACCAACAGCGACTTGAAGGAGCAAGTCAATTTGTGCCACGCTGTTCTGACAGTATGTGTTCTTGTCCAAGCCCCCTCCCCCCACCACCAACCCCTAAAAAAGAACAAACACAAACAAGCCAAAAAAACAAAAACAACAAACACAAACAAACAAAATAGTGCTCAAGCGTGTGCACTTGGAAAGCAGTGCTCACCCAATTTGGCTGTTGTTGTGCTGTCGTTGACACCATTACAGAACTGTCGGGCTCGCAAGCAAGCCTATCGTCAAGACATGCGCCGCGTTGACGAGATTATGACTGTCCGATTGCAACAGCATCAAAACTCCATCGCTGAAATGGTGGCCAAACGCGGCGACAAGTCCTACGCCTCATTGCCTGCCCACGTGAAACAGCTGACTGCCAAGAACACGGGACCTTCAGCTGCCAATCAGCCTGCCAGTCGCCGACGCAGCAGCGGCGTCAAGGGCCGCACTCCTACCCGATAGGATCCGTGCCTTTGCCGCGATGCATCGGTCGCCGTGCGGCCTTTTGTGACCATCTTGCCTTTTAGCTGGTGTGTGCCACTTCACGTGACTGTTTCAAGTTGAGCAGGATAGGTTTTGGTCTGCAGTTTGTTCACCAGTACTCGTTGTAAGGCCTCTTCGCTGGGTCATCTGTCTTAAGTCCTCCTGTATCTGGCTCAATTGCTACATGTGACAGCGATCCTCCAGTCTGCTGATGGGTTGTCTGGCCAAGTGTTGGCCCCAATCCCCATCCATCGTTGCCACACACCTTGAAGAACAGCAGCAAGGTGGTGGGCAGAAGAGGAAGCGAGGCGCCAGAAGTAAGAAACAGAGAATCAGAAAGTAGAATAATATTATGAAGGTTGAAGCAGAAGAAGAAGAAGAAGAAGAAGAAGAAGAAGAAGAAGAAGAAGAAGAAGAAGAAGAAGAAGAAGAAGAAGAAGAAGAAGAAGAAGAAGAAGAAGAAGAAGAAGAAGAA